CGCGCGTGACTGGGGTATTTTCAATAACGCAAGTGACTGGGGAGAGGGGGCGCTACAGAGTAAAAAACGTAAAAATCCAGAGTATCCAACGTAAAAAAAATTCCTATCTCCGAAACTAACGGGTGGTCAGTATGAAACTGGACAAAGTTTGAATTGTTACTGTGTCGAAACTTTTCAAGCGAAAGCAACGAAAATCGCGTTACCGTGCCATTATTTTGTTGTGATCACGCTCCGCCTAATGGATGTGCGACACTGGACCTCTGTCAGCCTCCAAGCGCACGCGCGCTGGCAGCCCCGCTATTGTCTTTCGCGGCACCTCCGGGTCGATTTGACGGATGGCCTGCTGGATTTTCCGCTTCAATTGTGTGTCTCAGCTGACCTGCCACCTTCCCTTATACACTTTCTGTTTGATGAGCCCCCACAGATCCTCAAGGGCTAAATCTGAGGAGTCCATGGTGGGTTCATGTCACGTGCTATTTCGGGCACCCCAGCCTCCTCAAGAAGTTTCGTGTTCTAGCGCGCGTACTGTGACTGTTGCAAGGTCGGAACCTAACAGAGCATCATGCTCTGTGTTCTGAGACTCAATAAGTGGTAACGACACGCCATTCAAACACTTTTCATAGCACAGTTCGCCCTTTACATTACCGAGCACAGGCTGTGCTCGGCAAGTTACTGGACGTGTGAGCCCCTCGGACTCATGACAAGCCAGACGGGCATCTCGGGTGGATGCTTGCTCTCAGGTCGAAAGCGAAGGTGCGATTCACATGTGGAATAGTGTCTCCACCAGCTGAGGTGAAAAATTCGGCAATGAAAGGCATTTGGCTGCCACTGCAGGTGAAGTAAGATTCTTCGTCCATATGCACCTCCATGTTTTTGCTACCCTGCATTCGACCCTGTGACAGACGGCGCAGGCGGCTTTTCTGCGTATGAAATTGTGCCTCCGTCACCTTTATCCTATTTTTGTACCTGATCCCTGCTTGTTGACACATTAATTGGTCATTTGTTTTGAAGATTCCAAAATTTCTTCCCAGATATCACAAGGAGAGCCCAACTGTTCGGTGACGGCGCCGGTTTGTTTCTTCCGGTGCTGAATGAGCATTTTCTGGGTGATCTTGCCGTTCCCACCATGCAAAACATCTGCAAGTCCTCAGAATTTATCGATGATCACATTTTCTTCAGATCTGGTTACACCCTATGGCGTAATGTGACGCATAATGGTAGCATTTTTGTAATTTGTGTTATTTTCACAAACTTGCGCGAACAGGTCCTGGAACGCTTGCTGACTTAACGGCGCAATATTTTCTTCTAGTTAATAGCAGAAAGTTGAAATCTGAGCTGGTAATATAGAATAACTGGAAGCATTCACCCGCCAAAAATAATTAAAATCTGTCCATAATTGGAGATGCTATGCTTAATCAAATTTTGTCCAGTTTCATACTGACCACCCGTTACTAGGCCGATCGTCGAAATTCAAACGGCGTCTGATGGCATTGGAAAAACTGTCGAGCGGATCCTATTTTTATTGACCTCGAGGTGAGGTCACTGATGACGTCTCAGCTCAGGTCAAAGTAAAAATTATCAGCCTTTTGGCTTGATCATAATTTAGGCTCTGGGCGCCAGCTAACAAGTCCGAGCAGGCTCATTTTTTGTTTACGCACTCCTTGGTATATGCCTTAGATATCCTGAGGGTACCAAACTTTTACTTCGAATTTTTTAGGTCAAGGTCAGGCCATACTAGTTTACGGAAATTTTATATCATGTACAGTGGATCTAGTAAGGATCTCCAGACGCAACTAGATGGCGTTGAGCCTCAGTCGAGTCCATGTGAGATTCAAGGAGAGGTCACTACCGAGCTGGGCCCGGTGGGGAGGTGGGCGGGGGGGGGGGGGGGGCGGGTGGCGAGGTCACGGTGCGGGTGACCTGTCAAACAGCCCCGGCGCGGTGTGGCACTGCCGCAGGCAAATGGCGCACTCCAGCGTTGTTCCATATCGCGGTTGTGGGCCGGGCGGCCGGTTAGCTTGGCACTCAGTTGGCAGTTGGCTGCTTGGAAGGAAAGGATAATGAGGCATGGGTTTGCTGTGGCCGGCTCATCTACTGTTAATTTTGGTGAGCCCAAAGTAATGCAAATGTGATGTTGGTAATGCAGCTGGCAATGGAATGCTAGCGAATGCTCCGGGCGCCCAGTAGCTATAAGGATTGAGATTATTTATGTCTCCTGAAATTTTCATTGAATATAATTCAAGCAATAGAAGGATCGTATCGTTCGCCAGTTTTTTGAACGGCTGGCGTTTCATGCGTAGAGCGCCCTTTGGCAAATAATCATCACGCAGGTGATTTTTTTCTTGCTGGTAAGATGGGCCTTTAAGGTCAAATCAAGTCCCTTAGAGAAGATGAGAAAAAGTGGACGAATACCACATTTTTGCGCATGAAGTCTGGAATTAAAAAAGCTTAAAGTTATTATACGTGTAAGCTAAAAACAATAAGATCAGTTAATAAAAATATTTGACCCGAAATTAGCCTCTGTTTTGTCTGACCATGATTGCGCGTAAGACACCGGTCCAACCGGGTTCAACGCGGCCCAACCTGGTTCGGCTCCACCTTTTTTAATATAAATTTGGCCCGAAACTTTTGAAAGAAAGGAATCACAAGGACAAAGTCACCGCCAAGCTGAGCTTGTTGCGTTGACCCTGCTCTCTACCCTCCGATCAAGCAATTCCTGGTCTATGGCAGAATTTAGAGTCCAAATTTTAACGTGCGCACATAGTCGCGCACGGCCGGTCCCCTCACTGACTTCGCCTGGCATCGGCCTGCCACCAACCACAACCATACCCGTCAGGAGCCGCTCAAAAACGTCAAGCACACGTCGCGTTTCGAACCCGGACTTTTGCAACCGGGACGTGCGCTCTCACCACATGGCACATGGAGTCCAACGCTCTACCGACCGAGCTACCGGGACGGACATTTACCTTGGGGTTTCGCCTCGTGACATTGACAGCCGTCAGACACTTTGGCCGAACTTTAGCCGAAAGACTGAGCAAGCTGCGCAGGGCGATAGGTGCTCGTAGCGTTGAGGTTGGGTAACCTGTGAGCTGAATGCGATGTCGTGAGTTCGGGCCCCACTCCCGGGTCTTGTTTTATCTAGACACGAACCAAAACCTTTCTGCAACACAGATAAGCACGATGACATTTTCCCCCAATATCTTTCCCCAATATCCTCTCCAAAAGTCAAAACTAGGTATCGCTTATAAATGTTAAGCTAAGTTTTATTTTTTAAGAAAATATTTTTGCCATTTGTCCGGAGCAATTTTAACTTTTTTTCTTTTCTGCTTCGTTTCGACCCGATAAAACCCACCAAAACTGAACGTGCCAAATGAAAAATATCTAATTCAAATAACAGTTTAGAAAGCCTCATCATGCATCATGAAAAGCATCATGCAACTATCGACTGAATAGTTGCATGCTATGAATACGTCCTAGCTTTCAATTATCATTGTTGAACATTTTGGCTGGAACTGATGCTGCCTCTGGTTTGCCCGTTTGTTTGAGATAATGATTCCCTTCAGTCGCATTCTTGCCGGTTCCACATGAACAGGATACCACCATACCGGAGTGAACGCACCCGCAACCCTCATCCCCTCCCCTCAGCCTCGGCGCAGTGGCGGGCGGCCCTGGGCGACCCACTCCCGGCGCTACGCACGCCCCATGCGCCGTGATACCGCGTCACTCCCCCTCCCTCCTTCCCCCACAATGACCGGTGACCTCACTTCCCTCGGGATTTGGACTCGCCCTACCCCGACCGTAGCGCCACGTGGTGGCTCTGGAGATCTTAAATAGACCCACTGTACCGGTCACGTCACGCATGTTTTATGATCAATTTCACTCATAGGTTTCGAAAACAGTATCGTCTGAGTCATTTGAGATCATTTTTTAGCTGCAACTAGCTGAGGTCAGGTCACTTTCAGGTCAAAAAAGATCAAATTTTGAAAATAAAATTTTTGAACAAAAAAGTGTCTATCAGATGCAGGTTGAGCCCAGGAACACGATGTGCATTACTGTACGATGTCAAAAACGTGCTGAAATGGATTTAAAAAGCTACATTTGTGAAATTTTGACTATAATGCATAAAACTTAGCCGTTTTTTTGAAGATATTGGGCTACAACCTTCTACAGTAGTTTATCAGTGGGTGTATTATCCAACGTATTTCGTTTTTTAAAGTGTTTTTGACAAAATCAGATTTTTTTTGTTATCGTATAGGTGTATATTTTCCTGAATTTTAAAAATTTTGAAAATCTGAGATGGCAGTTTGATAGCCACATTTACCTATTCTTAGTCCACTCATGCAAAGAAATCGGATCTAGATTAAAAAGTGAGCTTTTGAGAGCGATTAGGTACCGTAGTTCAATGCTTGCATCAAAATCGGCCGACATGACATCATTCTGACGTGATTTCCGGCCGAGCTACAATAGGTAAAAGCTTGAAATTTAAACACAATGTATCATATTGATCCCGCTGAAGGTAGGGACTGCAAGCTTCGTGTTGATACGTCAAGCGGTTTAGAAGATATTGCAGAAAAACTGGAGGAGCTTTGTAAAGCCCCCCCCCCCCAGGCACCATTCAAGCACGGGTTAAACGAAAAAATGTAATTTCTATTCCTAATGCTATTTCATAGACACTTTTTCAACTCCCGCAAGTGTTCACACCATTGAGTCAGCCGCGCGTTATTTCTCGTGACGCTACCTGGTGTTTATCGCCTCGGATCAAACGACGTGCAATTTGGTGACTTTATTTCGAATCCGTTTCTTACCCGTATGGCACACGAAAGGTAAGATATCTGCATTTTTAGGTTTCACACGATGAAGGTCCAGCTATGGAACTCCTTTTCATAAGCAATTCGTTGAATTTGCCCAACCATTTGGATATGAAAAAGTAAGACACATTTCTGAACACAAGCAAATAAATACATCGTCAATAAAATGTAAACAAACCTATTTCTAATTAAACGAATCGATGAGAGATCGACCCATGGCAGTCATAATAGCCTCATAACAGTCATCAAAATAACAAACAAAACATTAAACAGGTACCGCAGAAGCCCCAGATCACATTGCAGCACCGTAACTCCCAGTCAAAGTGAGCCAGGCCCAGGTGGTTACAACCCCTACACACAATGCTATGAACGTTTCACGTTGACTGCAATTGTCGTCGCCCCAGACCACCCTTCTCGGCGTCAGTCGCTGTCTACAACAAACCGTCTAAGCGCGTGTCACTCCCAGCGCGCGTCGCTCTCGGCGCAAGCAGCTTGGGTGATTGTCGGACTGCCCCCACGCCCCCCAAGGTCTCGCTCAGGCGGTAGAGACTGTTTCCGACGGTGGTGACTAGCTGAGGCGGTAAAGACAGTCTCAGGCGGTAGATGGGACTATCTCCGGCGGTAGACTATCCCTCTCAGGCGGTAGAGACTACAGACGATCTCAGGCGGTAGAGACGATCAGGATGGTCACTAGGGCGATCACGAACCCGGCGGAGCTGAACACGTAGAAACCCAGCATAGCTCGGCGCAGCGGGGAGCCCTGAAACAGATACCAATCAATTAACTACCTACTCACAAGAGTGATGAGAACGGCTCTTTTTTCTTATCTACTTACATTAAAAGAGAACCCTTAGATATCAAGTTATAGCGAAATGCTGAAAAATATCTAAATACATCCTCAAAGAAATATTTGGTTGTACTAACACCGGAGTAAATTATCGTTGCCAACTATTCAGCCATCTATTCTTTTCCAAAGAAAAGTTTTGAGTTGTGTTGGTTGCTTACCGGCGCCTCTGTCTTGACCAGGGCACCCGTGTCCGGGGCCACCTGCGGGCTGCCCGAGAGGTCCGGGCTGCTGCATCTGTCCGTTATCTGCCGGAATGAGCGCAAACTGACCTGTTATGGGGTACATATACCATAGCGTAGTGACTAACGATGATAGACATCACTCGAAAAAGAAATATACGGCTGTCCTTATATTGTACCCATTGCACTTAATTCAAATAATACCAGCGATTATGTAGGTACGGAACGATTTTTAAGTTAAAAAAATATCCGCAGCCTGCCGTCGTGGCACTGACCAGCAGCAGGACAGAGATGACCAGGTGCACAATGACGGCGGCCACCACCACCCAGAACCAGTAGTCGGGCAGCATGATCTTGGCCAGCTTCTGGGCCAGCAGGAGCGCGGTGACGGCCAGCAGGTAGGCCGACACGCCGCCGATCCGGTGCCCCCAGGCGAACAGCGGACGCAGCCGGTGGTCCGGGTGCGGCCGCAGCGCGGCGCCAAACACCTGCACGATGGTGAGCACTGGGGGAACGAACAGCAGAGGTGAGCGGTGAGCACTGGGGGAACGGACAGCAGAGGTGAGCACTTAACACTGGGGGAACGGACAGCAGAGGTGAGCACTTAACACTGGGGGAACGGACAGCAGAGGTGAGCGCTTAACACTGGGGAACGGACAGCAAAGGTGAGCGGTGAGCACAGGGAAAAGGACGGCAGAGGTGAGCACTGAGCACTGGGGGACGGGACAGAAGAGGTGAGCACAATGGGGGAAAGGACAGCAGAGGTGAGCACTGAGCACTGCGGAACGGACAGCAAAGGTGAGCACTGGCCGGATCAAGCAACAAAGGTGAGCAGTGACACTGACGGAATTACGGGACAGTAGAGATGAGCACTGGTGGAACATAGAATAAAGCATTGAAGTTGTATCACTTGACGGCGAAGCCCTGGGAAGGTGTTTCAGGAAGGAAGCGTTTAAGAAGATGGAGACGGAGGACGGGAAAATTAATATGTTTGATAGACCTGGTGATCTGAAAAATCAGTGATTAAAAAGCAATGTAAATTAAATCATGAAACGCTATTTTGAATTCTAAAACATCCGTAAATTGTCACCTGACGATGCGAACAAAGTTCGTTTTGAAGTTACGAAAGCACTACAATCTTTTAAACCGAAAAGCGACAATCTGACTGCTGAGGAAAGATGTGCCTTGCGGAACCTCAAGGGGAGGGATGATTTAGTGATACTACCTAGTGACAAAGGAAAATCTGTATGTGTACTAACCAAGGAACAGTATCAGGCAAAAGTGCATGAGCTAGTTTCTGATGAGGGCACCTACGAAAAGCTGCCAAAGGATCCGACGAACAGTTACTCACGGAAAGTAAGAGAAGTTCTAAAGAATATAGAAAGAAAAGGGGGAATTTCACGAAGTCTGTACTTAAAACTCTACCCTTCAGACCCCATGCCGCCTTTGTTTTATGGGATTCCCAAGGTTCACAAACCAGGGGTCCCACTGAGACCGATTGTGTCCACCATTGGCTCGGTAACCTACCCTCTTGCTAAGCACCTAGCAAGCCTTCTAGCACCGCTGGTAGGAAAGACAGGCTATCATGTCAAAGACTCGAGAGATTTTGTAACGTACGTCCAGGGTTTGACTATCAGCGAGGATGACGTCATGGTATCTTTCGATGTTCAGTCGCTGTTCACTTCAGTTCCCACGGATGAAGCTTGTGAAATAGTTCAGAAAAGGTTGAAGGCCGAGGACGAGAAGGGTGACAGCGTCGTTTTAGCCAATACGGGGATGGAGGTAGATGACATCCTAGTTCTACTTAGATTATGTTTAGATACAACATACTTTCAGGTAAATGGAGAGTGCCACAAACAAATGAAAGGAACCGCTATGGGAAGTCCGGTTAGTGTAGTTGTAGCGAACCTTTTCATGGAGGAATTGGAGCAGTCAGCTCTAAGGTCCTTTGCTCAACCGGTGAAGGTGTGGAAACGGTATGTCGATGACACATTCGTGGTCATCAGTGGTACCGACGTGGACCCCTTGCTTGATCATTTGAACTGTCAGAATGACAACATTCATTTCACGGTAGAAAAGGAAAGTGACAGTACCTTACCATTTTTGGACGTCGAGGTCAGGCGGCAAATAGACGGTTCGGTCAAAACGACGGTATATCGAAAAGCGGTGCATACTGATAACTATCTAAATTTTGAGTCTCATCACAGCGTGCAACACAAAGAGTCGGTAGTTCGCTCACTTATAAAACAAGGGGAGACCTTTTCAACAGACGAGAGCGATAAAGCCGAAGAAACAAAACGCATACAAAGAGCTTTAAAAGTGAACAACTATCCAAAAAGTTTCATACAGGCTACGCGTAGGAAGATGACCAGAGAAAGGAGTAGGCCAACAGGGGAACAGCGAGAGGAAAAGCCGCTTGTTGTTCTGCCTTACATACAAGGGGTCACAGAAAGGATAACTAGGTCGTTGAAACCCTACGCAAGGGTAACTTCAAAACCAGGACAGAGCCTGCGGAACATGCTGGTTAGACCAAAGGACAAGCGGGAAAAAATTCAAAATACTGGGGTAGTCTACCAATATGAGTGTGAATGTAACAAGGTTTATATTGGGGAGACGTGTAGAAGTATAAGGGCTAGGGAAGCTGAACACAAGAGAGCGATACGGAACATGGACGACAACCACTCTGGCATTTCAAAGCACGTCATTGAAACCGGTCACTCCATCCTATGGGAAAATGTCAAAATTCTGGCGTATGAAACAGACTGGAGGAAACGTAAGATTAAAGAAGGGATATTCATAGAAAGAGCGAAGGGTAGAGTTTTAAATACAAAACCCGGTGTACCGATGGCAAATGTGTACCGTGTGCTGAAGTAGTGAAAAAGTGCAGGGTGTATCTATGCTGGGACCTGCGGAATTGTAATATGTATACTTGTATGCATGTTGTTTCGCCGTTTTGACGATTTGCTTATGATGTTGAAGCGCAGGTGATAGGCATGTGTCTTTTTTATCGTTGCTGACGTCTGTGATATTACCTGATATTTTTACTCTTCATCCAAGAAGCGAAGACTTAATTTAAGCATGTGATCACATAATTTTAGAAATTTGAATGTGCGCCACTTATACGTATTCAAACGATGTTTAATATCACGAAACGAACGACTAGGATGAATTGTTAATTTTGATTTGATTCTATGTGTGTCTAACTGTCTAGGCTGAGGAAGAAAGCCGCAGTGCTTTCGAAAGCTACCATAAATAAAAAGTACCTGGTGTTTCGAATATTCGTCCTAAACACGTTGGCAGTGAGTGCATAAAGATCTATCAATTGATCATCATTACTCACGGAACACGACGAATCCAACAATGTTGTGGCTGTGGTCAAAATCCAGGCCTCCTAGCTGGGCGCTGATTAGGGCAAATCCAATCCAGGTGCACAGCGCCGTCATAACCATCAATGCGCGGTGAATCTGCAAACAGGCAATACAGTTGCTAAAAAGATATTAGCCATTTTCACGACGGGCTATCCGGCGAGTGCACCTAATTTGACCAAATCTGCACCTAATCTCTTTTACAGCAAATATCTTTATTTCATGAATTTATTTCAGTGTTTTAATCGATGATACTCTCTGATGATATGACAAAGCAGGCATATAAGCAATTAGTGCAACCCTAGAACAGCTACTAAGAGACACACTAAACCTAATTTGACAAAATCTGCACCTAATCTGCACCAAATGTGCACCAAATGTGTACCAGATGGCCGTCGTGAAAACGGCTACTATCGTTTACATAAACGGCGTTGAAATACACGTTACAGATACCACTTACCGTCACAAGCTGAGATGTGTTTATAGGTGAATAAATATTACTTTTAATAATGCATCAAAGCATAGCACAACGCAAACTATATAAACAATTATAATAAAACAAAAACCATGCGTAAAAATACCTATTTATTATTTAATATTATGTTTTTATTGCCCCCTTCTTCCAGACAGCATACCTATTACCAATCTAATAAAAACAGCTCGTGTGCTACCATTGGTTACATAAGATTGATAGCTGTAACTAAACTGTGCCCGCGCAGCAGCTTTGATAACTAGGGTATGAAGTATAAATGTACTCAAATTTAGTAAGGTTACAAAATTGGCAAAATACCGCACTGGCGGAGCTCCTTCCCCCCCCCCCCCTAGCCCGCCCGATGACATTTGAGATCCCCTCAGAACATGCTGACATTTGAGCGACGAGTGGCTACTGATCCGATCCCCTCACCGCCTCTGATATCTGAGATCTGCAGATCTCAGATAGTTATCAACATGTTGATATTTGATCGCCAGCTTACCGTAAACCAGACGTCGGTGCCCAGCACTTTCTTGCCCACCCAGACGCCCCTGAAGAACTGCGCAGAGATGATGCCGATGCCAGAGGTCCCGATCCAGGCGATCAGCATGAACGCTCCGTGGGCTGGTGGCGACGAGCGATATACGATTATAATCGGTAGGGTATAAATAGCAGCTCTGTTCTACGTGGAAACCGCAAGTGGAGACCAAATAACCGTTTATCCATATTCGCCATTTTCGTCCATTCAACTAGACCATTTAACCACACATGTATTAGCATGCCTGTTGCCTAATTGTCTGGATAACACGCATGGCTGCAATGGAAGTGTAATGAAAATTACACTTTCATTTCATAATGAAAGCGATGTTTGAAAGAAGTGCGAAATGCTTGCTTATCAACCATAAATTTTTGCAATGTTAATTGCATACCTACCCAAGAATGAAGAAACACTATAAAATAGCCAGCTGATTGCTAGAATATCATATTCATTGCCAAGTCGACCGAGCGCATGCCACTCCGATGTATCTAAGAACGGTGTGATTTGCGCGTCTGCCTACCTTTGATGAGGGCGGGCACGCCGGCGGCCCCGGGGGAGGAGGCGTCGGTCAGGTTCACCGCTGCGGCCGACGCCTCCCGCTTGCTGTGGTGGTAGCGCAGTTTCAGCGACGCGTCTGTAACAGACCACAGTGCAGAGTCGTGGGCGGCCAGAGCTCCAGATACCTCCAAGGGACAGGGTGGTGCTGGTATCGACCAATGGGGGGAACCAGGTGCGCGGCTAATTAAGGTGCTATTTCAAAGACACTTTCAGTCTGGGAACTGATAATTAAGACATTCACTATATTTGCAGCCGCATTATGTGTACAAAATTAGCCATCGAAACACTTCAATTCGGTTCAGGTGGAGCGTGGGCGTGCAAAAGGTATGGATGGGACCTACACCCCTGCATATTTAGTAGTCTGTGGTAGGATACAATGGCTAGGTAACGACAGGCAGCCGCCAAATTAACAACAAACACGAATAATTGCCGGGAATTTCATGCAGCCAGGTCAGAGGGTTCAGGCGAATAACAACAGCCTCTGTTTTCGTATAATCATATCATACTGCATAGTAACAGATCATCATGAAGTGGCAATATCTTGAACACACGTTATCGTAACTGCTAGTCACGCCGATATCTTGCGGCACATGACTTGCGCTCATGACTGGAGAATTTTACGGCCTTTGGCCGATAACCTCCCACTGCCACGGGTAGAGTCCGTAGGTACCCAGACGACGCCTCAGTGAATTCCGGGCCGTATCTCGCTCCACTAGCGGAGGGTGGATCATACGTGGCTCTCGAACTTGCGTCAATGTCATGTTCAAATGGAGGCAAGTCATGGCTGACGTTATCGGATACTACAGATAAACGCAGAGCCATGAACCTTACATGTAAGGTTCAAGATGTAAGAGCAAAATAAATAAAAAACATCCGACTGACTACTAACTGTGACCTTGATTTTATGCGAAGAAATTACCTATTACATAAAAAACACGATTCACGATAATTGCGTCACTCCTGGCTTGTAAAAGTAGGAAATACCACATGGCGTAAAGTAGCAGTCACACAATGACCGCAATCCAATAACTTCAGCCTAAGTTCGAAATTCGAGTAATCTTAGTTCGAACTGGAGGGACTCTGTGGGTGACATTTCCATAGGTCTAAGCTGTTATATGGGTATAGGACTGCAAGTGCAAAAGCGAAAAGGTGTTGGTTTGCAACAGAAGTGGGCGTTTGGAAGCATAAAGTTTGCAACCACTTATGTACATTGTACAAGCACACAAGGCACAGGTTTTGAAGAGTTCAGACATGCATTTGCCATTTACATATGCGTCACTGGCGCACCATACAGCATTTTGTTTCAGACTAAATAATCGTCGTTTGGACTGATGATATTGAAGACGTTGGCGCTATCTGCTGAGGATCACAGCCGAAGAGTCCAACGGGTTTTCAAGACAATTGTGCAATCAGCCTCTAAATTAGCCAGCTGCACATGTAAGCATTCATTGCGCCGTTAAGCAATGCGACAGTCTCGCATTATGAAGACACTTACCAATGGGTCCCGTGGCCACCAGTAAGAAGTGCTCCGCCATCAAGTCGATGGTCATCTGATCTGAAATGACGAGGTCGGCTTCCTGCGTAAATGAGCACATGAAGTACCCATCCTTCTCCCAGGTCTGCACGGCACTGGCGCTCTCCGGATTCTGAAACGCACAAAACGCCCGAAAGATTGTCACATGGTGGTAGAAATCAATGTTTTATTGCATACGGACAATTCTGAAACGTCGTTACGAATCGCCTACGGTCAGTTTGGCTAATAAAATGGTTAGAAATATTGCACTGATTAATATCGCAATACCTCGTGTTGGTGCATCAAGCCAAGTAAAATATGTCCATAAAAATGCGCACGTAAGGGGGTGAAAATTACAAACTTTAAACCTCGAAATAGCAGCGTTGTTCTTACCGCCTCAGACGTTATTTCGCAGTCTCTGCCCGTGTCCACGTTCCTCGCATAGTACACCTTGGGTGGATTATCGGCGCCGTTTGCTGCGCAGACAATGACACCGTCGGAGCTCTGCAACACAAACAACAGACATGGACATAGTGCGTTTAGAGGGTACGAGTACACAGTGACAGACACAGATGTGATATGGCCGACATTCGTAAACATCTGTGGGCTGCTTATAACAATGAGCGTTTCTTTGTGATTATTTATGAAAGAAATGTCGAAACCGCTACTCCCCAACAACTTCGTTCACAAGGACGGAACGGAAAGCAGTTTCGAAGCAAAAAAAAAAAAAAAAAAACAACTAAAAATGCATCCAATGAAAGACGAATAATATGCATTATGCGTTCAACAACTGAAGGTGCAATAGTATAATATTGAATGCATGAAGCTGACCTCTTTGCAGTTGGCGCCTAATGTTCTAAAGCAGTAGTGGTGCTCGCAATTTTCACTATTATAATAGGTAATTGACAGTTTGACACGAGTGATAAACTATCTCTTTCCATTGTGATCCCAGAAATTTGGAAGCTCCCTTCCGCTGGCGCCGAACTCCATGTCCTCCACTCAGCCCTCACCATCTTGTTGTCAGTCGAGAAGCCGACGGCAGCGTAGGTGTCATCCTGGCCGGCGGCCATCAGGCGCATCTTGAACTCGGCGCCGTCAGTGACGTAGGTGAAGAGGACGTCGCACTGCTTGGTGGCCTCGCAGCCGGCCGGCGCTCCGAAGCAGCCGTACTCGGCCGCGGAGCAGCCGGCGTACACCTCCTCGGCGCTGCTGGCCACGCTCTCCTGCACAGGCGTCAAATGATTGTAATTAAATCGGGCTACAGCCATTTGCGACGTCATAATGTCAGCACTCACTTATACATGGATAGAAGCACAACAAAACACTTAACTTTGATTGGTCAAAATGCATAGCAATAGCCAAACACTGAATCATTTCATGTAAGCACTAATTTAGCCAGTTGACATGCAGTCGTATATCTTCCAGTCCAGCCCGATCAGATCCATCACAATGTCTGGCTAATATTAAACCATAAAACGTCGGCATCTATTTGTCATGTATGCGCCTGCCGGCACGGTATACCTGGAGCGGCGCGGCGCGGAGCGTGTTCCTGGTGGCCGTGACCACCGTGATCGGCTCGGAGTGCACATTCTCCCACCAGGTGCGGTAATCGGCCACCACAGTCGCCACGAACCGGACCGGGCCACTGGAGTTGGCCGCGCTCCAGGTCACCTCCAGACTGTCCCGGCTCGTGGGCGTGCTGTGCGTCAGCGCGCTCTGCAACAGAGGGATCGGCACTCAGCGCGCTCTCCTCCGTTCCGTCGCTTCCATCCTCAGGAAACTGAAATCCTTCTCCTCTACGCCGCAACCCCCACTCCGGGCTGGACAGGCACCTTTATCTCATGCGGGCTGCTCCCTTGAAGCGGCACCGCTGCTCCCGAGGGAGCGCACCCCGTAGCCGGGTGCAGAGAGTGCTTCGGGGCTGGTCGGCCTGTCTATTCGGATGGGCTCAGCCCCGGCGACTCTCTAGGGTGTCTGCCCAACTCTCTAGGGTGTCTGCCCAGACCAATGTCTCCCCCTAATTCCTAGCATCCTTTCGGCTCTGAAATTGTCTTGTCAGACCGAAAGGGCCTAACCCAACAAAACAAAACAAAACAAACAAACAGCGCGCTCTGCAACAGAGGGATCGGTACTCGGCGTACTCTGCAACAGAGCGATCGGTACCCAGCGCGCTCTGCAACAGAGGGATCGATGCTCGGCGCGTTTTGCAACACACACAGGGACGTATAAGGGCGTTTTTGCAAGTAGTGTGGGCGACGGTTGGAATAAGCGAGCTCTGTTTTGTAAACCGCTATCTAGCCCGCAGTCGAAACTATAGCAGCAGTATATATTTACTCGCATATAATAGCCATTTTCACGACGGCCATTTCACACACATTGAGGGTGGCGATTTCAACGAACGCTGGGGATGTTTTGTGAGACTGTTTAACGAGCTTGAGTGATATCTGTCGATATGTTGAGAAAAATCGAAGTGTTTGGTTGATGGATTGACTGTGTGTATTTTCGGTCGTAAATAAACATAGCTTAAGTGAAAAGTGTGGTACACATTTAGCAGATTAGCTGCAGATTTGGTCAAATTAGGTTAATTGCATTTCTTAAGTTATCAGTTTGGGCTGCACATATGCTTAAATGTCTCATTTAAAAAAACAAAATCAGATATTATTTTCGATTAAAACACTGAAATAAATTCATGATACGAAGATATTTATTGTAAAAGAGATTTGGTGCAGCTTTGGTCAAGGTGCATTCGCCAGATCGCCCGCTGTGAAAACAGCTAATATAGCGTTTCTGTGAGGAGACCCGCGATGTGTTGGAGGCCTAACGAATCCCAAATGATATAACAGACTCTATTCGAGCACGGTGGAGAGTGACGTCATGAACACTTGTTCACTTTTTCACCGCTAGCACTTTCGATGACTTGGCATAAAGACAACAGGCTCGACAAATGTTATCGTTATCTTGTTTACATCATGCGTCAATTCGTTTTACCGATTAGCTTAAAGTTGCTTTCTGCGGTCACAGGAGAAATCAAGACTATCAACCCCTGTGTCAGTTAATTTATGCCCGTGAGGGAGTTTATCATGCATATCTCACCGACTGCAGAGAGGTACGCACTTGTGTCTGTCTGTACTATCTTGCGTTCCTGTTGCTACGCTAGCAATGTTAGCTCCGATGTTTCGTGAGTAAATACAAGCCACTGACGGGGCGTTACGAGTTACGTGCCTGTGGCCGGTGCAGCTCAGATTTGTACGTACCTGTGGATGACAACAGCTGCAGAGTGTTGCAGCTCAGAGTGTTGCAGCTCAGAGTGTTACAGCTCAGAGTATTACAGCTTAGAGTGCCACAGCTAAGAGTGTTACAGCTTAGCGTGCAAGAGCCAGCAAGTGTTACGCACCTGTGGCTGTTAGTGGTTACAGCTCAGAGTGGTACGCACCTGTGACTGGTTACAAGTAGACGTGTTACGCACCTGTGGCTGGTTACAAGTCGACGTGTTACGCACCTGTGGCTGGTTACAAGTCGACGTGTTACGCACCTGTGGCTGGCCGGAACAGTCGATCAGGTGTGTATCGGAGCTCGCCGTGAACCGTCCGAGCGGCGTCGGGTCGTCGCCGGCGGCGGCGCGCGCCTGCAGCAGCACCCCTCGGAAGGGCTGCTCGCCGCTGAGCGTCACCCGCCACTGGCCGGCCGGCTCGGCGGCGCGGGCGGCCAGACGGAACGGCGCCGGCCCCGGCTGAGGCTTGTGGGAGCCGTGCCGCGGCCGCAGGCTGCTGCAGACGGCGCCGTCTCCCGGAGCGCCCTCCGGCAGGGCGCGTCCGGGCACCGCCAGTGCCGTCACCGCCACCAGCAGACATAGGGCACGACCCGAGCCTGAAACTGCGCACATCCCATCAGCACGTCAGTCGCCCTGTCCCGGTCACGCACCGTTCCGTGCTTCTATCCTCAGGATACTGAAATCCTTCTCCTCCACGCCGCAACCCCCTTCCGGGCTGGACAGGCATTTTTATCTCATGCGGGCTGCTCCCTTGGAGCGGCACCGCTGCTCCCGAGGGAGCGCACCCCGTAGCCGGGTGCAGTGAGTGCCTTGGGGCTGGGTGGCCTGTCCTCTGGACGGGCTCAGCCCCGGCGACTCACTAGGGTGCCTGCCCAGACCAATGTCTCCCCCTATATCCTATCATCCTCCCGGCTCTGAAATGGTCTAATTGGACCGAAAGGGCCTTACCCAACAAAACAAACAAACAAACCCGGTCACGGCCTCAAACGAGCGCCTTTCACCAACTCAATTGTAAGACGGCTCTGCGTTCCGCAAAAGCGGTGGTAGATCCGACTTTAGGGTGCAGCCGGTGCTCCATTGTCACCGCGGCGGAATCGACACCTGTGCGCCAGAACGAGCCAGGTGTGCGGCGACTCAGCGCCACCGACCGTGTCCCCCGCATGATTCAATAGGGGCGCACCACGGGCGATCGATGTGCGACCGTATCGACCGTCATCATTAGCAGAACAACGAGTCTGCACTGGGCGGCCAAACACGCGCCGCAGCCCGCCGGGCTCGGGCTGAATTGGGACCGTACACCGCCGCGGTGAAAGACGTAACATACAGACGTATCCTTTAGTGATTGGAACAACACAACGTCACTGCAGGTTCCAGGGCTAATGTTCAGCGTTTGGAGCCTTCTTTGGCAACGCTATTTCTAACAGTGTGTTTGGGTAGCCAAAGAGTTGAGGATATCATGTCAAGTGCTAAAGTCAAATACCTGAATGATCAGCCGTCACTGAAAACAGTTTTTAGATGTGACAGCGATCGATGCAACACTCTGCCAGGCACGTACCCAGGATTTCGCCCAGGAGGGGGCCACCTGCTTCCGAAGGGGCCCTTAGGTCACCCGAGGGCCCCCAGGCCGCCCAGGCGACCAGGGGGCCCCAGGCAACCAGGGGTCCTCAGGGGTTCCAGGCAACCAGGGGCCCCCATGCGACCAGGCCCCCGCTACCAGGGGCCCCCTTGGCGACTAGGGGCCCCAGGCGATCAGGGACCCCATGCGACCAGAGGCCCCCATGCGACCAGGCCCCCCGGCTACCAGGGCCCCCTAGGCGACTAGGGACCCCAGGCAATCAGGGGCCCCCATGCGACCAGGCCCCGCCTACCAGGGGTCCCCTAGGCGACCAGGGGCCCAGGAAACCGGGGGCCTTCGGATTACTGCAGGGGCCCATCGGGTCATCAGGGGCCCCTCGGGTAACCAGGGGCACATGAATGAAACTTTGATATCATTTTTCTTCCTAGTAAAAGACGTTTTATCCAGTGTTTGACAAAAAATATACCGGGGCCTGAGGGGCCCCCTGAGCGCCTTCGGCGCTCAAGAGGGGGCCATGGCCCCCGTGGCCCCCCCTTGGGTACGTCACTGCACTCTGCAGGCCTCCTTTGACCATGTGAAAGGCCTTTGATCTTGTCTTTAGACCTTGTCCTTTGACCTTTTCAAAATTCAAAGGATAGGATTAAGGATATCATGTGATTTTGTGAGCCAGCGATAATACGAAAACGCTATGTCGTATGCAGTTCAGTTTTGATCTCGTATGGTAAGCGAATTCCCTTCTTTTCGCATTTCACATGCGCAATGGAGAAGGGGGGAGACGGGAGAGGAATTTTGCACACCCCTCCTGTTTTTCGCAAATGGGTACCCGTCAAAATTCGTGGAGATTTGGGTCGATATTTGTCCCACAACTGATTTCCTAGAAATCATTACCTTTTCATAAACCATGCACCCTAGGCTGTTCACAGTTGAAATTATTTAAAAAATGCCATTGCGCATGCGCGTAAAATGGTCCGTGACCCAGAAAACAAAAAAAATATTCTGGGTCACGCATTATCAAACCAGATACGTTCACTCACCTCATGCGCGATATAACCCCGTTATCGGCAATGACCTTCTCCTCACGTAGGCGGAAAGACTTGCATGTCTAGATGATGTAGGTGGGCAGAATTTCTCTTCTGGGTCACGATTTTTTTCCTGGGTCACGCTAAAATTCGTGACCCAGAAGAAAAAAATGCGTGACCCAGGGGAATGGTTTTTACAGTTTTCCGAATATGGCAAGTTTGTTATCGAATACTAATCTCCAAGTACATCTTATCTGGAGTACCTGAGCACGCAGCAACACGACGCTATGATTCTTTTCGACACTTACCAGTCACAAGCCACAAGGGCGTGTGACCCAGAATAAAGAAATCTTATGGCACGCAGGAGATGATTTCCCCTGGGTTCGCCCAGCCCAACTGACAGTTTTCAGTTTCCGCCCCCGCTCTCTGCGCCTTCGCGGGATAGGACCATATGCAAGTCTGCAGACCCTGCTTACCCGGTCCGTAATGTTTTGAATGAGGAGCTAAGTACCGTGACCCAGAAAAAAACGTGACCCAGAAAAAAGTTTGCCAAAAACCGTGGGACAGACGTTTTTGCGTTGTGCAGTCTTGCTAAATTGTATAACCAAAAAATAAGAACCATGAAGAGAAATTTCAATGTATTTGCTATTCACAACACTCCCTCGCGCTCAATTATCTCTAAAAATAACTACACAGCAGCTCTGTAGATTTTTTTCGCAGGTTGTGGGACAAGCTAAAATACATAGGCACACAAAAGCATGGTTTTGGAAAGATGTCCAAATTTTTTTTGCCACTTTGCTGTTGCCTTTTCAATGATTTTTTTTCTTCAATCAAATGTCCAAATCTCGCGTACGGACCCGTGTTACGCTGAAATAAGCTCATTTATTGACGTGAGGCATTATTGAAATCGTGGGACAGCATATCTCCACGAATTTTGACGGACACCCAAATAACTCATGCCGTAATCATTATATTAACGTCAGCTGTGCAATATACCTGCCTAAAATTATATTGTGCATCTTGCCGTGAAAGCAATAAGTAAATCAGTCTACAACGTTTCTAGTAACAGGGGTGTTAATTAAGTGCGTACAAAATCCAGCCGGGGCGGAGGCGCGACGGCCGCTTTTCACCGCCGGACTGATAGACTGCTCCTCCCGGGTGCCCGCGCTGGACGGTTCCGTCTTTGCATTGCGCTGCTTAACGGTTCTGATTATCTTTTCGCGTCAACCTATCTGCGAAGACTTATAAATGTACAGCCAATCTTATGGTAAAAGAAATATGAAAATCAACCGGTAACATCTTGAGTTACGAGGGTGTAAACACAAAATTGTGACTGAATCGCTTCCCACGTCGGCAGATCCCCGCCTGAACCGGAAGACATTTTACTCTTAGCAGACTTCTAATTTCCATTATCATGGATGGATTGAATAAAGATTCTCAATATCTGCTCAAAAATGTTCGTGCTGTCGGCCAGTAACTTGCTCAGCTATGGGCGTGTAAGCACCAAATAGTCCCTGATATGAAAAATTTGACCCCGTTTGACCTCATTTGACCTTAAAGATATTAAACTAATGTAATGAAATTTGCACACCATAGTTTCCCCATCACCCCCACCCTCCCTCCAAATTCCGTCTTATTAGCTTTCATAGGAGGTGAGATCTTGGGGGAAGGATTGGGGGGGGGGGTAATGCCATTGTCATTTTTTTTTTGGACTAGTTGAGTTATATTGGCCTTCAGATAGATGAATATTGAACCTGATAATAAAAGATAGAAATATGTTGAAAAGTGCCCTATCTATCTTTGTTTCGATGAATTAGTCAACTTCGTGCCATTTCTTATTTTAATGAATTTAGTCCGAACCTTTTGATAGGTAGGTTTCACAAGGACAGAGCCCACTGCTAAGCGAAGCTTGTTGTGGTGACCCTGCCCTCTTCCCTCCGATCGCGCAATCCCGGTTCTATGGCAGAATTTAGAGTCAAGATTTAACGTGCGCACGCCGCGCACGGCCTGTCCCCTCACTGACTTCGCCTGGCTAAGGCCTGCCGGCTGCCACCAACCGCAACCATATGTACCTGTCAGGAGGCCCATAAATGTCAAGCGCCGCCGCGCTTCGAACCCGGACTGTTATAACCGGGAGCGCGTGCTCTCACCGCGCGGAATCCAACGCTCTACCAACTGAGCTACTGTACCGGCCATACATAATATATGTGACAGTGCCATAATAGAAGAGTTAGGAAAACTAGACTAATTGTTGAAGATTTGTGCCCTCCTAAGCACGCCTCTCAATTCCTAAACCGATACAAGCAAAGTGAAACTATTTTTATTTTGCCCATTTCGATAAACAATTAGGTATATCCTTCAGAGCAGTGTGAAAAAAATCAATCAGCCAAAATCTCATTTTCGCCCGATACCTATACCTCTAGTCTATAGCAAATGTGGTCAGTGCAGTGAAGGTCATCAGTTCGCCTTACCGTCACATCTGAAGTTTATGAATGGGCCTGGATCAATGGAAACTCGCCGCGTCGGAAACCGGTTTGCAGGCTGTAGAAAATAATGTCTCAAACGTAGAAAGCCAATGTTATTAAAACAACACTACTGTTAACGCCAGACCCCTTGAGACCCTAATTTTTCGCGATTACTTTTAAATGCGTGAAGGAATTTCAACCAAGCTCAGGACATGGCCGTTTCAAGACAGGCCGAAACTTTTACAATTTAGATATTTTATCGCCATTTTAATATTTCAGGCACTTGTCATTGTCTCGTAATGTTAAATTTCGAGCAAGATTTTCATCCGGTGTGTAGAGGCTATCACCAGTCAGTCTGTGATACGTTATGACGTCACAGCTAAGCCCCGCCTCTGTGGTCTTGGCCTGCGGCGGTTTCGGGCCGGCGCGCGGTCACTCTCGCTGTGGCGGGGAGCGGGGACGGGCGACGGTCGAGCGGTGCCGAAAGCCGGCGGAGTTGTGCGTAGCGTCTTGGCTGACAGTGCCCAGAGAGCGATATGATG